CACCGACCCAAACGCTTTCACAGCCCGAGGCATCTTGTAAGAAGTCACCAACTGCCACAGTAGTCGCAAAGGGTATCCAGCTTCCCGAGCCTCACTAAAAAAACTGCTGACCTTGACCGTGTCGAAGCACTTCCACATGTCCATCATCACCGTGAGCGAGTGCTCGCCCAGCAGCTTAGACATCTCCGCCATCGCGTTATGCATGAAGGCCGACCCCGACGACGAGTACCCCTTCCTGTTGCCCCAGATCATCTCCGAGGGGAACTGCTGCAACCATTGCCGTGAAAGCGGTCGTCGGACTCTCGCCCAGACCCGTATCAGCGTGTGAATGAGAGCCACCAGTCGAGTACCTCCTCCTTCCTTTGGAATCATAGCCATCTCGGAGTGGATACGATTCACTGGCCAGAGAAGCAAGTCCTCGCACTTCATGAAGAAAGCAGCCATGGCCCCCAAAGCCTCACGCGATAAGAACCACAACGATCTGGGCTGCAGCTTCGACGGACCCGCTGCCGTCTTCCACTTGAAAGAAAGGATAGCCTGCGAGGAGGAGGGGGAGGAGGAGGAGGAGGAGGAGGAGGAGGAGGAGGAGGAGGAGGAGGAGGAGGACGAGGAGGAAGAACGCCACAGGGAAACCTCAGGTCGGTCTAACGTAGAAAGGAGGAGGAGGAGGAGGAGGAGGAGGAGGAGGAGGAGGAGGAGGAGGAGCAGGAGCAGGAGGACCCAGAGGAGGAGCAGGAGGAGGGAAAGAGATGGCGTCGCCGGGGGACGGCGACAAATGTCGGTTGCGCCGCACCGAGGAGCGCTGTCCAGAAGCCGCCCAATCCCGCGGGCGGGCGGTACGTACACGTTTGCAGAAATGTCTGGCAGTGAATGACGACGAAAGGCTTTCGTAGGCCGCTCTGGTGCGCAATGCGAAGGAATGGCAAGCCACGCGAATGAATGCCAAGCAAACCGACGCAATGTCAAGTAATGCCTCAAAGAGCAACGCGATGCCAAGCCGAAGATGTCATGCTGCAGCGGGTCGCAACGGGGCGCGCGAAAATGAGTAATTCTTGGGGGATGCACCGAATCCCGGGTTCACAGTAAATTTCCAGGAAATGTGGGTGCGAACCCGGCCGGGATTCGGGTCAGTGTGGAAAACGTCGTGTGGGCCTTGTTGGGACCCTGGTGGGCCGGCTTGGGGCCCTCTCAAGCCGTCCGAGGACCAGCTTGGGCCCTTGGGCCCTCAGGGGCCCTTATGGGGGCTACGTGGGCCCTCGCGGTGGCTTCCCATGGCCTGTTTGGGGGCCTCCCCTGGCCTTCTTGGGCTTCTCTTGGGGGCCTTGTGAGGGCCTGTTGGGTTTCTTCTTGGCCTTTTCGGGTCGATACCGGAGGCCTTTTCAGCTGTTCTGGACGCTGCTGAAGACCCGAGCAACGAATATGCTGAAAACGCACGGTTCCATGAGGGAGTTCAGCGATTTCTGCGCTCTTGGAGACCTGTTCACGGCCTCCTGGGCCGTCTTGGGGGCCTCTGGAGGCCATCTGGGTCCTTCATGGAACGCTCTTGTGCTGTTTTGGGTCTCTCTTCGGCCTTTGTGATCACCGCTCTGATCGCCTGGGGTCTGCTGGCAGGGCCCTGCTACGCGTGGGAGGTCCGGGACGAGCCGGGGGACCTTCTGCAGGGTGTCGGGGGGCCCCGGAAACCCCGGATCCTGGGGGTCCGGTTTTGGTGTGTGTGTTTTCCCGCACTCCGGGCTTGTAAACAAATAGGGAGAGGTATGTGTATGTATGCATGCATGCATGTATGGTTGTATGCGTGTATGTATGTATGTTTTTTTTTTTGTTTGCGTGCATGCGTGCATGCATGCATGCATGCATGTAACCCCGGGAAGCAAACAGTACCCCCCCCCGGCGATATCGTTAGCACAGATAATAAAATAAATGATTATTTTGGGCGGCGCCCTCCGGCGATATCGTTAGCACATAAAACATGAAATAAAATAAGTAATTAATTTGCCCCCCCGGGCCCGAAGCTGGCGGCAACGTGAGGCGACGGCCTGAAGAACCAATGCGCACGAACGCTTGCCAATGGGTTCCCGCCTTGCTACACAGGGCAACCCGTGACAATTACTGCCCGGGCGGGCGTGAGAAGCGCGAATGCCGCCACATATTCGCGCGCACGGACTCCGAAAAGCGAGGAAGAGGGGAGGAGGAGGAGGAGGAGGAGGAGGAGGAGGAGGAGGAGGAGGAGGAGGAGGAGGGAAGGGGAAGAGGGGGAAGGGGACTGGGCAGCGCGCTTGCCAACAATTGCGGCTTGAAAGCAGGGCCCACGGGACCGGGCATTCAGAGGCTTGTGGAGGCCTTTCTGCATGCCTCCTGGGAACCTCCGGGGACCTCCCCTCCGCGGACCTCTGGTGACCTGCGGGGGATATCGCTTCCGCCCCGGCCTCGGTGCCGGAAGCGTTATAATTTCCTCTGATGAGGGGGGCGAGGGGGGTTTACTGATTGTTTCCAATGTATGTATGTATGGATGTGTGTCTGTGTGTATGCATGTATGTATGTATGTATGTATGTATGTATGCATGCATGCATGCATGCATGCATGCATGCATGCATGTATATATGTATGTATGTATATATGTAGGTCTGTCTGTCTGTCTGTCTGTCTGTCTGTCTGTATGCATGCATGCATGTATGTATGTATGTATGTATATATATATATATATATGTGTGCATGTATGTATATGTGTATGTGTGCATGTATGCATGCATGTATGTATGTATATATGTGTGCATGCATACATGCATGCATGCATGCATGCATGCATGCATGCATGTATGTATGTATGTATGTATGTATGTATGTATGTTTGTATGTATGTATGCATGTCTGTATGTATGCATGTATGTATGTATGTATGTATGTATGTACGTATACACATGCTTATGTATATGTGTGTGTATATATAATGTGTGGTCGCCCCCCAAACCACCAACTCCACAAAACCTTCACTGATCGCTTGCTCGTCGTCTTCCTCTTTCTCTTTCTCCTCCTTCTCCTCCTCTCCCGTTTCTCCCTTTCCTCCTCCACCTCTTCCTCCTCCTCGTCCTTCTCTTCCTCCGACTGCAGCACGACAGGTCTCCTCCTCCTCCTCCTCCTCCTCCTCTGGAGCAGCAGGAAACCAAGAAGAGGCAACGTCTGACGCCCTCGGTGCAAGGGTTCGTTTTGTTCTGTCTTTGTTTGTTTTAGCTGGTATGGCAAGCAAGGGAACACTGCGTATGTTTTTCTTTTTTTTTTGGGGGGGGGGGCGGTACAGGCCCCAGTGCTCGCCGCGGCCTCCCTCCCAGCACCGTTCTCTGCGCCTCCCAAACCAACGAAGACACCACACATACACATCGTCTGGCGCCCTCGGCGCAAAGTCTGCTTAGCGTGTCGCTCCGCCAATTCTGGCCTACCACGCCTCGGCGCGACACGTTGGTGTTGGGTCCTCGTTTCGAAGAGACGTTCCCCGCGTTCCTCTCTTCTCCTCTCCTCTCCTCCTCCCCCCCCTCCTCCCCCCTTGCCCTGGTCGCCTATGCCCTCCGCGTGTCTTTGTTTCAGCACGCCCCTCACACGTTTCGTGGCCCCATAGGTCGCCCCACCGAAGGCCCAAGTGTCAGCGTTCGCGTGTGCCCAATGCACCCATGTTTGGCACACCCTCACACGTTTCGTGGCCCGGTAGGGAACCCCACCGAAGGCCCAAATGCCAGTGTCCGCATGCGCCAACTGCACCCATTTCGGCACACCCCTCACACGTTTCGTGGCCCCACAAGGAGCCCCACCGAATGCCAACATTCCAGCGTTCGCGTGTGCCCACCGCACCCATTCCTGGCACACCCTTCACACGTTTCGTGGCCCCACATGGAACCCCACCGAAAGCCCAAATGCCAGCGTTCGCATGCGCCCGCCATACACATTTTGACACACCCCTCACACGCTTCGTGGCCCCACAGGGAACCCACCCGAAGGCCCAAACGCCAGCATTCGCAAGCGCCCACCGCGCCCATTTCGGCACACCTCTCGCACGTTTCGTGGCCCCATAGGGAGCCCCACCGAAGGCCCAAACGCCAGCGTTCGCATGCGCCCACCGCAGCCATGTCGGAACGCCCCTCGCATTTGTTGTCCCATACGGAGCCCCACCGAAGGCCCAAATGCCAGTTTGCATGCGCCCACCGCACCCATTTCCGTACACCCCTCACACGTTTCGTGGCCCCATCGGGAGCCCCAGCAAAAGCCCAACTGCCAGCTTTCATTTGCGCCCACCGCACCCATTTTGGCACGCTCCTCGCACGTTTCGTGGCCCACATGGAGCCCCAACGAAGGCCCAAATGCCAGCGTTCGCATGCGCCCACCGCACCCATTTTGGCACGCCACTCGCACGTTTCGTGGCCCCACAGGGAGCCCCACCGAAGGCCCAAATGCCAGCGTTCGCATGCGCCCACCGCGCCCATTTTGGCACACCTCTCACACGTTTCTTGGCCCCACAGGGAGCCCCACCGAAGGCCCACACGCTAGCGCTCGCATGCGCCCACCGAACCAGATTTTGGGCACCTCTCACACGTTTCGTGGACCGATAGGGGGCCCCGCCGAAGACTCCCATGCCAGCGGCCAGCGTTGCACCCGCCGCACCCATTTTGGCAGGCCCCTCACACGTTTGGTAGCCCCAAAAAGCTCCACCGAATGCAGTTACTACAACGACGGTGCGCACACCTGCAAATTGTTGGGTTCTTCGCCAGGCTACTTTGTTTGTGTGTGTGTGTTTTGGATTTTTCAAGCGGGGCCCCCAGAAGTGCTGACCCTTTCAGCGGGGCCGGTTTTATCCCGAGCCGTTTTTTGACGGTCCCGGGGTCCGGCGAGGGCCCCTGGGGGCCGAAAACAGCAAAGCATTTTCCTGCCGCGATCCTCCTGGGCATGGATCTGAATTGTGTTCGTCGCGTGCGACGGTGGCATTTTGCACGCGCGGACGTGCCCGTCGCCCGAGGCAGCGGCAAGCACGCCGCGGGCGACGGCGCCGCGGGCGGCGGCGCCGACGCCCCGCCGGAGAAGCGGAGGAGGCCAGGGAAGGCCGCGGAGTGATGGCTGGCAGGCGCCTCCGCCGCTCCTCCACTGGGGGGAGGGGCGAAGACGACGACCAGCGATCGGCGTTGACGAGAGGACGACGAGAGGACGGCGAGGAGGAGGAGGAGGAGGAGGAGGAGGAGGAGGAAGAGGAGGAGGAGGAGGAGGAGAAGGAGGAGGAGGAGGAAAAGAAGGAACAGGAGGAGGAGGAGAAGGAGGAGGGAGGAGGTGGAGGAGGAGGAGGAGAGGAGGAGGAGAGGAGGAGGAGGAGGAGGAGGAAGAGGAGGAGGACGAGCGGCCCCCAAGAGGCTCTCAGCGGCTTCAAAATTGCCTCCAAGAGAGGGTGGGCGGACGAGAGGCGATAGGCATATCGCAGGCTCCAAACAGCCGGTCCCCATGACGCCATAAGTGGCTTCGAACTTGCCTCCGTGAGAGGGGGGCGGACGAGAGGGGAGACGCAGATCCCAGGCCCAGAAGAGCCGCGTTGGACGCTCCGAGGGCCTTGGATGCTCGCCTTCTGGGGAGCGTCGTCATAGCGTCCACGGTTGGCGATCGGAGATCGAGCAGATGAAGGATCCAGGGACGAGGAAAAGGAGGAGGAGGAGGAGGAGGACAAGGAGGAGGAGGAGGAGGAGGAGGAGGAGGAGGAAGAGGAGGAGGCCCCAGAAAACCCCGAAGAGAGCCCCACCAGGGTCTAGATGACGCACGACCTTCCGAACGTGAAGACTTCCAAAGCGAACAGTGACGCACCCGAAGCTCTGAACGCCGAGGCTCTCAGGCATTAGCGTGAAGACTTCAAGAGCGAACGGTGACGCACCCAAAGCTCTGAACGCCGAGGCTGCCAAGTGCCAGCGGTGGCGGAAAATATCGCTTACCGCCAGCAGCAAGCAAGGACACGTCAAACAAGCAGCACCGGCATGAAACCAAGCTAGGAGGCTCATCAAGGTCCACCGCTGCTCCGCGCTCCGTTCTGGAGTCGGTGGTTTTCGTCGCATGCACGTGTCGGCCCCTCGAGGCCACGACGACTGCTCCTCCATGCGCTACGTCGAGGCAGGCGCCGGAGAAGCAAGAGAAGGAGGAGGAGGAGGAGGAGGAGGAGGAGGAGGAGGAGGAGGAGGAGGGCGACGTCGCTGGCGTCAACGGAGATGACGACGACGACGGCGACGACGATGACAACGACGACGCGACTGACCCGATGATTGCGAACACAACGACGACGACGACGACGCCAAATCATTGTACCACCGATGATCCCGCGCAGCAGCGTCATGCACAGTAAAGATGGAGCGGGGTGGCCCTGGACAATTTCTGAACGTTGCACCTGGGGGGTCGGTCTGTTCAGAAATTGTCTTGGCCCACTTGTGCCCAAGTTGCCGCTGCGCTTGTGATTTGCCTTTGGTTGTTCTTTCTTGCCCATCTTCTTGTCTCCGGACCACCCTGGCCCGCATTTCGTAGCGCTAGTCGTGGCTGGAGACCGCGGGTTAGCCCTAGTCTTCTTCTCTACAATGCAGGGATCCGTGCGTGCGGGAAGGGTCCCTGTCTTGATCGAGCGAAAATGCTCCACAACGGCTCCGGGGACGCCCCAGAGGCGCTCACGCGGCCCAAGAGGCGCCCAGGACGGCCCCAGACACCCCCCAAACAGCCCAAGAGCGCTCCAAGAGAGCTCAAGACCGCCGAAAACGGCCCCGACAAGGCCCAGGAGGCCTCCACGACGGCCCCAGAGACGCTCAAGAGGCGCCCCAGGATGACCCCCACAGGCCCAAATCATTGTTTTTCCAACGAAAAACGTCCAATTTTAGCACACGCTGCTTGTCGGGAGTATGGCGCAGAAGATGGGACAAGAGGTCCCCACGACCGCCCCAAGACGGCCCAAGAGGCCCCCCAGAGGCACGAAAACCGGCCCGCGAGAGCGTGAAGAGACCCAAGAGGCGCCCAACACGGCCCCCAGGCGGCCCCAAGAGGCTCCCAGGAGGCGCCCAGGACGGCCCCACACACCCCCAAGACGGCCCAAGAGCGCTCCAAGAGAGCCCAAGACCGCCGAACACAAACCCAAGACGGCCCAGGAGGCCTCCACGACGGCCCCAGAGACGCCCAAGAGGCGTCCAAGGATGCCCCCCAGAGGCGAAAATCATTGTTTTCCCGAAGTAAAAACGTTCAAATGTTAGCATGCGCTGCTTGTCGGGAATATGGCGCAGAAGCTGGTTCAGGAGGTCCCCACGACCGCCCCAAGACGGCCCAAGAGGCCCCCAAGACGCACGAGAACCCGCCCGAGAGGGCGTCAAGAGAGCCCAAGAAGCGCCCAAAACGGCCCCAGGGCGACACCAAAAGGCTCCCAGGACGGCCCAAGGTATCCCCAAGACGCTCCAAGAGCGCTCCACGACAAGCCAAGATTGCCTTTTGCGGCGCCAAGACGGCCCCCAGGACGGCCCCAGACACCCCCAAAACGGCCCAAGAGCGCTCCAAGAGAGCTCAAGACCGCCGAAGACGGCCCCGACAAGGCCCAGGAGGCCTCCACGACGGCCCCAGAGACGCCCAAGAGGCGCCCCAGGATGGCCCCCACAGGCCCAAACCATTGTTTTTTCAAACGAAAAACTTCCAACTTTTAGCATACACTGCTTGTCGGGTATATGGCGCAGAAGATGGGACAAGAGGTCCCCACGACCGCCCCAAGACGGCCCAAGAGGCCCCCCAGAGGCACGAAAACCGGCCCGAGAGAGCGTCAAGAGACCCAAGAGGCGCCCAACACGGCCCCCAGGCGGCCCCAAGAGGCTCCCAGGAGGCGCCCAGGACGGCCCCACACACCCCCAAGACGGCCCAAGAGCGCTCCAAGAGAGCCCAAGACCGCTGAACACAAACCCAAAACGGCCCAGGAGGCCTCCACGACGGCCCCAGAGACGCCCAAGAGGCGTCCAAGGATGGCCCCCAGAGGCGAAAATCATTGTTTTCCCGGAGTAAAAACGTTCCAATTTTAGCATGCGCTGCTTGTCGGGAATATGGCGCAGAAGCGGGTTCAAGGTTCCCACGACCGCCCCAAGACGGCCCAAGAGGCCCCCAAGACGCACGAGAACCCGCCCGAGAGGGCGTCAAGAGAGCCCAAGTGGCGCCCAAAACGGCCCCAGGGCGACACCAAGAGGCCCCCAGGACGGCCCAAGGTATCCCCAGGACGCTCCAAGAGCGCTCCACGACAAGCCAAGACTGCCTTTTGCGGCGCCAAGACGGCCCAAGACACTTCTACGACGGCCCAAGAGACGCTGAAGAGGCTTCCCAGGAGGCCCCAGGAGGCCACAATTATCGCTTTCCGTCGCCCCGTCTCCAAGCCTTTCCGTCTGTACAGTCTCCAAGACGGTTTCTGGGCCGTCCGGGACGGCTCCAGAGGCGGCCGAGACGGCCCAAGAAACACCCAAGACAGCCCCCAGAGCGCCTAATGTCGGCCCAAGAATGCCCCAAGACGGCCCCAAGATGGTCCGAGAGGCGCCCAAGACGGACCCACATCGCCCCAAGACGGCCCAAGAGGCATTCAAGACTGCCCAATAGGGCCCCGAGAGACTCCCAGGAGGACGAAAAGAGGCCCCCAAACGGCTCCCAAGAAGGCCTTGGATGCTTCTCGGGGAGCGTCGAACTTACAGCGTCGTTTTGGGAGCTTCTTGGACCCTCTGGGAGCCATATCTGCGCCATTCGGGGACGACTTGGGGCGGTGCGCTCGAAAGGTCGATTCGTGTCCTCGCATTGGGCCCGTCTTAGGGACCTCTTGGGCCGTCTGGGAAGCCTCTTGGCCCGTCCAGGAAACCTCTTGGGCCGTCTCGCCGCCCTCTTGCAGGCCGCTCCCACTGGCCCCATTGTCACCACACTGCCAGGTAAAATTATCATTCGGCCCCGGCGAAGAGCAGATAAACTTCTCACGGCTACCCTCCCTGCAGAAGCTATGATGAACACAGATTGCGGCATGAGAAACAGCGTCTGTCCACACCATGGCATGCCTACATGGGTGTACTTCCATTGATACCGCCTCCACCACAGCGTTCCTGCCTTCAGGCCTGCTTGCCTGCATCCTTCGCCCACCTCCACCTCCAGCGGCCACCTCCATCCACGCCATCCCCTCCAACCACCCCTTACCCGCGAGGCCCCAGAGACGCTCCTCTTCCGCGTCCACGCCATGGCGGGCAGATTCCGCGGCCGGAAGGCCGCGGGTCAGCCCTAGTCTATACTATATGGCCGGAGGAACCGCGTGCTGGAAGGAAAGCGGATCAAATGGCTAGAAACGGCTCCGAGACGCTCCGGAGGCCGCTCCGACGGCCCAAAGACGGCTCCGAGCCGCTCAAGATGCCCCGAAGGCGGCCCAAGAGGGCCCCGAGACGCGCAATGATCCGGCCAAGACGCCCAAGATTGGCCCAAGACGGCCCAAGAGCTCCCCAAGACGGCCCAATAGGCCTCCCAAGAGGCCTCCCAAGAGAGCCCCGAGATGCCAAAATCGTTGATTCTCCTTTGTTTTTTTTTCCGAGGTTTTTTGCTTCCTCGGTTTTTCGGCTTCCCGACGCTCCGAACCCCCCCCAGAGGCATCCAAGACCGCTCCAAGACGGTCGAAGAGGTCCCCAAGAGGACCCCAAGACGGTCCAAGAGGGCCCCAAGACGGTCCAAGGCGGCCCCAGGACGGCCCCAGAGGCGCCCAAGACAGGCCAACGGGACCCCAAGATGGCCCGAAGAGCGGCCCAAGATGGCTCCAAGACGGCCCGAGGACCGCCCAAGAAGGCCCTAGGGGGCCCCAAGACAGCCCAAGGGGCGCGATAGACGAGCCCAGAGAGGCCCAAGAGGCCCCCAGGAGCCCCAAAGAGGTCAAGAGGTGCCACGGGGCTTAAAAACTGCTTCGAAGCGAGGGGGGCGGACGAGGGGACCGCCTCAGGAGGTTTTGGACGGTTTTGGGCCTCAAAATCATCCGCTTTACGACGGTTTTGGAAGGATTTTGGCCTTCTCGCCTTTTCCGCTTTCCGACGCTCGAAGACGGCCCAAGAGGCCTCCAAGAG